AAATTTACAGCTGGGACTTCACAAAGTAAATGCTATGCACATGACTGCAGATCAAAATCTCATTATACTATACACACTAATCCCTCTGCTGTAATGCAGTTTTGTAATAAGAACACTGCTAACAATCACATTTCCAGCATTTAGGATGTGAAGAGGAAACAGGGCTTATTCCTGCCTCGCATCTGGAAGGTCTGAGAGGGCAGAGTTCCTGCATGCCTTGGCCACCATAACATCCCCAGAATCTGGCACAGGGCCTGGCAGAGTCAGAGCTCAATAAATATATGTTGGAGGAATGAATGAAAATAAAGTGGTAAATTAGCAAATGAAACGTTCCCAACTCAGGAGCAGAAGTGAGGTCTCACTCATCTTCACACCTACCCTTTTCCTATTTGAAGCCCTCAGGAAGCCTTTCCTGACACCCACCATCCCCATCCACTGCTGGATTGGGTCCCCTCGTAACGCACTCTCATGTTGTTGTTGTTGTTATGTGCCGTCGAGTCAGCCCTGACTCATAGCGACCCCTCCTTGGGTTTCCGAGGCAGTATCACTACAGAAGTAGGATTGCCCAACCTTCCTTCCGAGGAGTGGCTGGTGGGTTTGAACCGCCAGCCTTCTGGTTAGCAGTCAAGTGCCTTAGCCACTACGCACTCTCATAGTAGCCAGTAATTCTCCTTTGTAGCACTTACTGTAATTATATCATTCTTTGTGTCTGCCTCCACCACTATGACTGTCAATTCCTTGATGGAAGAAAACATGTGCATTTGGGGAGCACTGTAATTTTCCCCAAACTTCTTATTTTGAAAACTTTCAAGCACAAAGAAGACTTTCAAAATATGATCACCCATACACTCTCCATTTAGATCCAACAATTTCTAACCTTTGGGGCCATGTTCATTTTCTCCAGTGTTGTAGCCCATAGAAGTGTGGATGGATATCAGGGTCTTGTTTTCCCTGCTTTGGCATATAATAGACCTGTTAGAGTCAGGTGGTAGGGGGATTGTTGAGTCAGGGAGCTTCAAGGGGACCTCAAAGGGTAACTGCCAATTAATACCAAGACCAGAATGCAACAGCAATTCCACCTGTAGGCTGGTACCTACAGCAGTTGTAAGTTCTGCTCAGGTAAGTTGTTTGTAGGGCAAAGTTAGCCCACACAAGTTCTTTCATTAGCGAAAAGGACCATTACCTGGATTGCCAGTGGAGAAAGCATCCTTGTTCACCTGGTGGCATTGGTTCAAGCTAGAATCAGAGACTTTCTTTCTATGGGCCAGCACTTATAGACTGTACCCCAAAATGGAACATTGAAAGGAACAGCTGAGTACAAAAGCTAGGAGATGCACTCGGCCTCTGGGCCTACACTGGGCCTCGCTAGCTTACCATGAACAAATCATGTAACCTCTCTAACTATATATTAATAGCAGCCCAAGCTATTTCATCGACAGGGGGAGATGGGGAGGGATATCCCAAGAATCTTCTCCAGTTATTTAACGGTGTCTATAATTTCTCTCACCAACTGGACTATAACCTTGAAAGCTAGGAACTGTGTCTCCTACTTTTGTTTTTATTTGTATAGTTCACATGGGTTAGCCATAGTGCTGGACACTTACTACTCAATTAAATAAACATTAATGAACACAATGCAGAAACAGCTTTGTTATACAGAATTTTTTATGGTGTTCATTCCAATTGTATTGCATTTTGTACACAAGAGCTGAACTCTCAAGTGGCATGCATAGCTGTTATGGATTAAATCACATTCCCCCAAAATATGTGTTGTAAATCCTAACCACTATACCTATGGTTAAGGAGCTCTGGTAGCATAGTGCCTAAGGCATTTGATTGCTAACCAGAAGGCTGGCAGTTCAAACCCACCAGCCACTTCATGGCAGGAAGACAGGGCAATCTACCTTCGTAAAGATTTACTGCCTTGGAAACCCAATGGGGGTCGCTATGAGTCAGAATCGACTTGATGGCAGTGGGTTTATACCTGTGGTTATTTTCCCATTTGGGAATTGGTTTTCTTTGTTATGTTAATAAGACAGTATTAGTGTAGGATGTGTCTTAAATCAATTTCTTTTGAAATATAAAAGAGATTAAACAAGCAAGCAGAGAGCAGATATGCCAAGCCACATGCAGATTGCCCAGGAGCGGAAGCTGAAGAGACGAGGACCTTCCTCCAGAGCCCACACAGAGAGAAAGCCCTGCCCGGGAGCCGGCACCCTGAATTCAGACTTCTAGTCTCCTATACTGTGAGAAAATAAATTTCTGTGTGTTAAAGCCACCCACTTGTGGTATTTCTGTTATAGCAGCACTAGATAACTAAGATAAGGTCCAAATATAGGCCCAGCTCAACAATTCTAAGTCTTGTTTTAGTCACTAATGTCAGCTTGCAAGCCACAGTGATCCTCAGTTGACTCTGGAAAGGACTCTTATACATGGCATCATGTCACAGAGATCATTATAAAGAACTAAGCTAGGCACACCTAGGTTTACTCTCTTCCCAAACCCTTGGTACATGTTCCTTGAAAGAACCAAGCAGCAGCAGCCAGCCAGCCAAGGTCTCTTGAGTCGATTCCATCTTCCCCTGGTGAATTATAACTACGCGCAAACACAAAGGAGCAGAGACAAATGACACATAAACAAGAGCTTCACTGGTTGGGGGGAGGGGGCACGGAGAGTGACGTCAGTTTTCCCAGAAACCCATTTATCACAATAACAAGGTCTTGAGTGCTTGGGCTTCTCTTTCAAGCTTCAGAATCTGGCACACAATTCTGTTCTTCATCATACAGTACGGCGAGTCCAGCCAGACCAAACTGGAACCATGCAAAGCAAGCCAAGTGGCCCTAACTGCCCCCTCCATCTGCAGAACAAAGGGGATTGCCTGAGTTGTGCCAAAGGTAAAACACAACCTTCTGGAATGTTCGCCCTTGCAACATCTGCCTTGCAATTCTATTCCAGGCAAGGGGGACCTGGTGAGAGAGTATGAATGGGTCAATGAAAATTCATTAGCTGACGAGAAAAATCATTAGTGTAATTTTTGGTCACTAAGAACGGAACTTAAGCTGTATGCCATCTCTAAAATGCAGGTAACTGGGAGTACTCTGGGAACCCAGAAAACACTAAAGCGATAAATATTACTGTGCCGATCTGGGAACCCAGAAAACACTAAAGCGATAAATATTACTGTGCCGATCTTGTGGGGCAGAGAATTTTCTCAAATTCCATGATCGCAGAGCGTCATCAGCTGTTTACTGCTGGTCTTTCTACGTCACAACTCTGCCAGGGATAGGGGAGGTTCCAAAGAAATGGTCCTGCTCTTCTAAACAGGAACAAGAGGGTGGAATGAATTCATGCATAGGGTAGAGAAAATACTACTAGATTCTGGATTCAGGTTTCAAAAGCAAATCAATTTCAATTACACCAAATACCCAGAGGCTATGGGCACATACACACACATATACACACACACACAGGAATTGTATTGCAAGGACTGTTTCTCTAAATAAGCAAGTCACAAGGGTCAACATTTTTGGTGCTTCAGAGATGATCATCAAGTAGTTTGTGGTGTCACAGGATTTGGTCTATGTCTGTCTCACTCTCCTCCCTCCCCTTAGGGCCTGGGTAATGGTGCATTTCTTAAAATCCCACAAGACTCATGGATAGAAAGGCTATTCCTCCAAATGGAGTCACCCCTCCCTTTAGATCAAACTTCAGGTCTAAAAGAACAAATATGGAGCCTCAGGTCGCCTCACTATGAATTCTTTGCACATCCCAGGATGGAAAACTTCAGTTCTTTAAATGATTTTTTTTTTCCAGAGTCAGTTGCCAACAAAAAGAAAGAGCCCTGCTTTAGCAAGCCTCACACTGAATTTCCTGCATCCCCAGAGATAGAGACCAGGTCCACAGGTTTTGGCAAAGCAGCCCAGTTACACTGAATCCAAACCCGAGACAAGCCCCTACTACTGCCATCCAGTCGATTCCAACTCATAGTGACACTATAGGACAGAGTAGAACTGCCCCACAGGGTTTCCAAGGCTGTCAGTCTTTATGGAAGCAGACTGCCTCGTCTTTCTTCCACGGAGCTGCTGGTGGGTTCCAACCGCCGACCTTTTGGTTAGTTGCCGAATGCTTTAACCACTAGTCCACCAGGGCTCCTTGACAAGCCACCTGACCGCAAAACCCCGGTCAGGTGCTCAGAAAAATCCCAAAATACGCAGTCGGCCACCTACAGGCCAGCCAACTGCACCCCACACCGATGCACAAACGGGACCCAGAGGCACAAAGCACAAGCAGAGTGGCGTCTGGACACATGGCACACACCAGGGAGGGGAGCACACATATACACACTCAGAGAAATAGGCAGACTCATCTAGGGTCACAGACAGAACCCGGGCGCTCTTGCCAGCCCAGGAAGGCGCGAGAGCGCGCTTGCACACACACGCGCACACACACACAAACACACAGACGCAGTCACATATGTAATGCATATGGAGAAACCCTAGCCCAGCCAGTCACCTCCCCGCCCCCACACCACTCACCGCCTCCTGCCCCAAGCTAACTCCAACCAAGTGCTCCTCTCCCGGGGGAGGCCTGGGTCTGGGCGACAGCTGTACTCGGGGGCGCGGTCCGGAGGTCTGAGGAAGCCAGGCCAAGGTCCCAGGCCCCCGGAGGGCTCGGCGGCTAGTTGGGCCATTCATTCGGCAACGCCCCAGCGGCGGGGCCGCAGCTGCAGCGAGGGAGGCGGCCGCGCCAACTGCGACTCTTTGGCCGGTATGAGTCCGCCTGCCGCCTGCAGCCTTGCCAGCCCCCACCTGCCCCCCATCTCCGGGCTTGGGGACAGGCTGGGGGACCGAGCCGCTGACCCCGGCGGCAGCAGTCCCGCCTGGCCTCAGCTCCTGGGTGCTGCTCACTGCCCTGCTTGTGGTGTTGGTGACGGAGGCCGGGTCTCCGCAGCCCCTCCCAGGCCCCGGGTCCCTGGGCTGACCCCCAAGCCCCGCACTTACCACCTGGCGAGCTATGTCTGTCGCTGCCATTGCTCCTGCGTCCGCCAGGGCTGCCACCGGCGCCGCCGCAACGGGAGCTACTGCACAGGAAACAGCCGAGCTGCTCCGACAAAGAGAAAGTGTTACACTTCGGGCGCGACCAAGTCCAGGGAGGGGGGGAGGCACCAGTGATGGGCCCCGTGGCGCTGCTCCAGCCCCAGCCTCTCCTCGATAGCCCACTCCCCGTCAGGCGGGGCTGGGAGGGAACGGGTTGTGTGCGTTGCCCCTACTCCAGGAGCCGGTCTCGATGCTCCCTGCGGCCCCAGCCACAGGCCTCGGTGAAGGGGGGCGGGGGCTCTCCTCGGTGACCACGTCCTACTCCCCTCGCTGCTGGACTCTGTGGTATGTCCCGACTTCTGCGAATCATCACACCCCCCTGCTCTTGCCTTCCATCCTAGGGTCCGCAGACCCCGGGCGCTGAGCGGGAGCCCCAGCCTCTGCCCTCTGCTGGGTGGCTGAGCCTCTCAATGCTCCGCTCTCTTCTCCCCGCACCCACTGTGCCACCCCGCCCAGGGCGCAGGGTGCATGCACCTGGCGTCCGACTCTAGAGTCTCGCTCCCCCCACCCCTTGGCCCCGGAGTCGCTGAGGCCAATGGGGTGGCTGCGACACCTGCTGCCCCAAGGAGGAGCTGAGAAAGGGAGCGGCTAGGGGAGCCGCACTGCGGCCGGCCGCGGAACAGGCACAGCCGGAGGCCAGGGGTCCCAAGACGCCTCTTGGGACCCGAGGCATCCAAGCCTCAAGGGCTGCGGGCGGTAATTTCAGGGAGCCGAGCTCACTACCTTCGGATCCTCAATCTAAAATGACCCCACGCCCCTACTTTGCCACCCACCTCTAGACGCTCAGCATGGGAGCGGAGTCTCGGAGGAGCTACACCTTTAAGTTCCAGGGCTGCGGAGAGTCCAGAGGAGGGTTGGGCATGAAGGATGCCCCTCAGGGCAAGAGGCATGGGGATGGTGGGACCCAGCGGCCTCCAGGCGCTTAGTTTGCGCCCTGATTCTCTCTGAGCCCTCGGCCAGCTCCAGGAAGACGCTGTGGCGGGCAGTGCGGAGAGGCGAGAACCGCCTAAGGCAGGGCTGTGGCTGCCGGTGCTCCTGTTCCTCCTGGCCCGCCGCCACGGGTCTCCTCTCTTGTCTTCCCCTCCTGCCCCGGCACTCTCCATTCTCTCCCAGGAACGGCCCCTGGCTCGCTTCCACTGGCGACTCGGGCAGATTTGGCGCGCCGAGGCCCCAGCGGGAGGGACACTCCACCTCAAAAGGGCAACGGAGAGTGACAGGCTCCCTAATCTTGGAAAGGGTCCCGGGACTGTAGGAGGACCCAGGCTCGTGCGGGAAACCCAAGCCTGCCCAGTTGGGGCGTGAGAGGTGACACCTCGCAGCAGCCCACTGAGGGAGCAGGCCAAGGGAGGAAGGTGGGAACCAGGGAGAAGGGTCAAACCCAGAGGCTTCAGCCTAGGTCGACAAAGGGAGACAAAGAAATTGGGTGGCTACGTGAAGCTCTTTCCTGGCACTTGGTTCCACCGGCCAGGACAGTGCTTCTCACACTGACACTGCAAAATACAATCCCAGTGCCTAGCTCTGGACCTGGCATTCAAGAGGTGCCCCAATTAATGAGTGTTTCCTGAATGGAATAGAAGAGAGGGGGAAGAGGGATTCATTGTATGTGTGTTGGGGGAGGACAGAAGAGAGGAGACACAATTAGGGGAGTAGCAGTAGGAACAGTCATGAGAGCCAATATTCAGGGGCACCCAGGGTGCTGGCATCATCATGCTTGAGACCCAGGAGGGGCCAAAGAGAAGAGCCTGGAACAATCAGGGACCAGCACTGAGGAGCTCTGTGTGACAGATGGCGCAGACCCTCAGGGCAGATGGTAGCAGCAGAGAACAGGGGTGGCTGGAGCCTGTGATGTCAGCTGGGGCTCTGAGGCAAGGCCTGGGGTAGATGCCAGGCCCTGGATCAGGGAGTGTTGAGGAACCGCTGGAGAGCTTGGGCCCCAACCGGATGAGGGTGGGGAGTCAGAGGTGACTGGCGTCTTCCAGGCTGGGTGTCTCAGGAGAGACAGATCTTCCCTAGTAAAGGCTGGGGTGGACAGGGAGGGGCCCAAGGCCACTAGCTCTGATCTGAACTTGGGGCTTGTGTGGGGGTGGATTTGGAAGCCCGAGTTAGAGATGCAACCTTGGGCAGGCTGCTGGAATCCTGGAACTCCGCCTGACTCAGGGTGCCCCTCCTGCATTAATGCTCCCTGTGGACATTCCGGCCAGAACAGGCAGCATCTTAGCATGAAATCTTTTGTGTTCAGCCTGTGTGCCTCACTTGGCCCACCCACCTTTCTCCAGGACCCCCACGGAGCTAGCAGAGGCCTCCTACTCCAAAGCCCTGAACTTTGCACACTGAGGCCAAGTGTGGAATTCAAGTCTCCTGCAGCCCTTTGGTCTCTCAGGACCAGCTGCTGCAGGGTTTCTGTGGGGTGTGTGTGTCAGTGTTGATGTGTGAGTAGGTACGCTTTTGTATGTGTCAGTGTGTATGTTGGTATGTATTTCTCAGTGTGCATGTCTGTATGCCTGTGTGTGTTAGTGTGTCTATGTTGGCATGTATTTACTGGTATGTGTTTATATGTGTCCGTGTCTGACTGTGTGAGTGTATGTTAATGTGTATGCATGTGAGTGTGTGTCAGTGTCTATGCAGTGTGTATTTCAGTGTATAATTTTGGTGTGTGTTGGTATGCATGTAAAGGTATATATGTGTCATTATTGTGTGTTAGTGTGTCAGTGTGTTCATCAGTGTGTATGTGTTGGTGTATGTATCAATGTGTGTGTCAGTGAGTATGTGTCTGTGTGTGTGTGTGTTTAGTTCACTGTGCTTTGGCCTTTACATACCTTATCTAAATTAATGCAATAAGCCAATAATTGAAGAGGTGTGAATTTTTACATTCAATTCAAGTACAGGAAAGGTGTGGAAACTCACTGAGTTCATGCCTCCCAGTCTTTGGTCCTGAATCACCTGCCTCTAACACTGCTGGATTGTCCCAGACCCAGCAGAGATGAGAGGGCTGAGGGAGGTGAGAGTGCTTGTGAGTGATGAGTGGATGGGTTTTACTCCCATACGTGAGTGGGACCTAAAGATTCCTTCACGAAGAGGCATGTGAACTCTCAATGTGTCCCCAGCAGGGTCCTCTGGGCCCAGCATAGTGTCTGGCAGGTGCTAAATCAATGTTTGTTGAGTGAATGAATGAACGGAAGCATGTAAATGTGGCTTTTTCAGTGTTTCCACTGTCCTTAAGGAAACTGGAGCAAGCAGCGACTTCCCAGGGCCAGCAGGTGACCGTCATTAGCATGCTAATGTGTGTTTATGGAACCAGACTCCCTGGGGAAGGGAAATGGCTACCCTGCTAGATGAGACAAAAACAGAAAACCAGACCAAGACTGAATTAGAGCCAGGCTTTTAAAAGGTCACTCTGTCTGCTGGGGGTTAGAGGGAGAGATGCTAAGATTGGAGGCCAGGCCAAAGGGAGGACAGCAGGGAGGGGGAACAGAGCAGCGAAATTGGGTTAAGGGCTCAGGAAAGGGCTTTGTCCTGAGACTATCTTTATGAAAGGACAAAGAGGACAGTAGAGCTGGTCTAAAGTGGAAAAGCCCTGAGAAGAATCTGAAAAGTAAGGTCAGAAAGTTGGAGGAGGCAAAGCAGAAAGAAAATGATCTGGGATTAACTGAATCCAGACAGAATCAATAGAAGCTCAGTTAAAGGACTGAGTTAAGATGAACTAAGGATTACTTTGTGCGTTATCACCTGCTGCGTTATCATTTATTAGGAAAAAAAAAAACCTCACTGCTGTCGAGTCGGCCCCGACTCATAGCGACCCCTCCTTGGGTTTCTGAAGCAGTATCACTATGGAAGTAGATTGCCCAACCTTCCTTCCGAGGAGTGGCTGGTGGGTTTGAACTGCCAGCCTTCTGGTTAGCAGTCAAATGCCTTAGGCATTATGCAGTGGTTCTCAAAATGTGGTCTTTTGTCCAGCAGCAGCAATATCACCTGGAAAGTCATTAGAAATGGGAATTCTCAGACTCTACCCTACATCTACTAAATCAGAACCTCTAGAATTGTGTCCCAGCAACCCTTTAACAAGCCTTCCAGAAGTTTCTGACACATACTAAAGTTTGACAACCACTGGTTTAGCTGAAAGTCGAACGCTGGTGGGATGGGACACGGGACTGGTAAGGTTTGGTAGATTTAAAAAAAAAGAAGACACACCAGTTGCTGTTGAGTTCCAACTCATGGTGAGCCTGGAAGCACATTACCAGACCTTTCTTCCAAAGTGCCTCTGGGTGGATTTGAACTGCCAAGCACCTAACCAATTGTGGCACTTGGAGATTCCTAAGTTGCAAGCCTGGGCTACTGCCAATAATAGCAGATCCCAGTGGATTTCCACAATGAACTGCCTGAGGATAGGGTTGGGAAAGGAATGCCAAAAGTGGAGGAGAGGGGACCCCAGCAGGGAACTGGAAGGATTCTAAAGATAAGCTTGGCCTCCTTCGCAATTTCACTCATACCTTCTAAAAATATTCACTGAGCCTCCGCTGCCTGTCAGCTCCTGTGCTAAGTGCTAGAAGACTCAAGAAAGAATAAAATCAAAAACCAAGAAAGAATGGGTAACGAGAACTCCAACTATGAACTCGGAGCTCCTAGGCCCATTGCCAGATAGCTAATGTAGTAAATGATATGATCAGTCAGTATCTAGGTCCTGAGGGGTTACAACCCACAGAGGTAAAGGAAACATCCCAAAGAAGGGTCATTTGGATTGAATCTTAAGAGTGAGTAGTAGTTTAATCTGGCAGTTAAGGAGGAGACAGTAGGGACAACAGCCTGTGTAAAAGCACAGAGGCAAGAAAGGGCAGAGAACATTTAGGGAATTCCAAATCCTTCAGCGTGGCCAGGGGGAGTGGCAGCAGGAGGGGACGGTGGCCGTAAATGAGTCTGAATGATAAGATGATCTGGAAGGGACAGGTTGGTCATGACCAAAGTATTGTCAAGCTGTATTCTCTAAGGACAATGTCTATTCGGTGCCTGAGACTGTGCCCAGTAGCAAATTGGATGCTCATGGTGCCTATCCCCAAGGGACATCTAGTCTGGTGGTGTCCCTTGGGCTGGACAGATGAATCAGCTTCAAATACTGAAAAAAGAAAACACCGTCTTTCTTCATTTTGGAAAAAAAAATAAACGGTAGAAATTTCTCTATTTTAACTTTTTTTAACCATAAATTTTTCCTAAATCTTTGACAGATGTTCCTACTTATTTGCTAGCAAGCAACA